TTTGACATTAAATTTTTTTCTTAAATACAACCTATTTGGTGACAGCAAAGAATCGTGAGCGATAGGATTCAAACCTACGCAGGCAAAGCCCACATGATTTCTAGTTATGCCCGATAACCTCTCCGGCACGCCCACTCTTGGCATTAAATTTTAACTTTTTTCCAAAATTATATTAATTAGTTTACAAAATTGGGGTAGAAGAACTAAATCAAACAAAACAATTGAAATTTGACATTAAATTGTTCTCTTAAATACAACCTATTGGGTGATAGCAAAGAAACGTGAGCAGCATGATTCGAACCTGCACGGGCAAAGCCCACATGATCTCTATTTATGCCCGATAAACACTCCAGCATGCCCACTCTTGACATTAAATTTTGACTTTTTTCCTAAATACTACTTGTAAGTTGACAAAATTGGGGTAGAAGAACTAAATCAAACAAATCACTTGAAATTTGATATTAAATTCTTCTCTTAAATACTACCTATTGGGTGACAGCAAAGAAACGTGAGCAGCTGGATTCAAACCTACACAGGCAAAGCCCACATGATTTCTAATCATGCCCAATAACCACTCCGGCACGCCCACTCTTAACATTAAATTTTGACTTTATTCCCAATTTCTATTTATTAGTTGACAAAATTGGGGTATAAGAACTAAATCAAACAAATCACATGAAATTTGATATTAAATTCTTTTCTTAAATACTACTTTCTATTTATTAGTTGACAAAATTGGGTAGAGGAACTAAATAAAACAAATCAATTGAAATTTAACATTAAATTCTTCTCTTAAATACAACCTATTAGGAGATAACAAAGAAACGTGAGCGGCAGGATTCAAACCTGCGCAAGCAAAGCCCACATGATTTCTAGTCATGCCCGATAACCACTCCGACACGCCCACTCTTGGCATTAAATTTTGACTTTTTTCCAAAATTATATTAATTAGTTTACAAAATTGGGGTAGAAGAACTATATCAAACAAATCAATTGAAATTCGACATTAAATTCTTCTCTTAAATACAACCTATTGGGTGATAGCAAAGAAACGTGAGCAGCATGATTCGAACCTGCACGGGCAAAGCCCACATGATTTCTAGTTATGCCCGATAAATTTTGACTTTATTCCCAAATACTATTTATTAGTTTACAAAATTGGGGTAGAAGAACTAAATCAAACAAATCACTTGAAATTTGACATTAAATTCTTCTCTTAACTCCTACCTATTGGGTGACATCAAAGAAACGTGAGCAGCAAGATTCAAACCTGCGCGGGAAAAGCCCACATGATTTGTAGTCATGCCCGATAACCACTCCGGCACGCCACTCTTGACATTAAATTTTGACTTTTTTCCCAAATACTATTTATTAGTTGACAAAATTGGGGTAGAAAAACTAAATCAAACAAATCAATTGAAATTTGACGTTAAATTCTTCTCTTTAATACAGCCTATTGGGTGACATCAAAGAAACATGAGTGGCATGATTCGAACCTGCGCGAGCAAAGCCCACATGATTTCTAATCATGCCCGATAACCACTTCGGTACACCCACTCTTGTCATTTAATTTTGATTTTTTTCCCAAATACTATTTATTAGTTGACAAAATTGGTGAAGAACAACTAAACCAAACAAATCAATTAAAATTTGACATTAAATTTTTTTCTTAAATACAACCTATTTGGTGACAGCAAAGAATTATGAGCAGCAGGATTCGAACCTGCGCGAGCAAAGCCCACACGATTTCTAGTCATGCCCGATAACTACTCCGACACGCCCACTCTTGGCATTAAATTTTGACTTTTTTCCAAAATTATATCAATTAGTTTACAAAATTGGGGTAGAAGAACTAAATCAAACAAATCAATTGAAATTTGACATTAAATTCTTCTCTTAAATACAACCTATTGGGTGATAACAAAGAAACGTGAGCAGCATGATTCGAACCTGCACAGGCAAAGCCCACATGATTTCTAGTTATGCCCGATAAACACTCCGGCTTGCCCACTCTTGACAATAAGTTTTGACTTTATTCCCAAATACTACTCGTTAGTTGACAAAATTGGGGTAGAAGAACTAAATCAAACAAATCACTTGAAATTTCATATTAAATTCTTCTCTTAAATACTACCTATTGGGTGACAGCAAAGAAATGTGAGCGACAGGATTCGAACCTACACGGGTAAAGCCCACATGATATCTAGTCATGCCCGATAACCACTCCGGCACGCCCACTCTGGTCATTTAATTTTGATTTTTTTCCCAAATACTATTTATTAGTTGACAAAATTGGGGTAGAAGAACTAAATAAAAAAAATCAATTGAAATTTGACATAAAATTCTTCTCTTAAATACAACCTATTAGGTGACAACAATGAAACGTGAGCATCATGATTTGAACCTGCGCGGGCAAAGCCCACATGATTTCTAGTCATGCCCGATAACCACTCCGGCACGCCCACTCTTGGCATTAAATTTTGACTTTTTTCCAAATTTCTATTTATTAGTTGACAAAATTGGGGTATAAGAACTAAATCAAACAAATCACTTGAAATTTGATATTAAATTCTTCTCTTAAATACTACTTTCTATTTATTAGTTTACAAAATTGGGGTATAAGAAATAAATCAAACAAATCACTTGAAATTTGATATTAAATTCTTCTCTTAAATACTACCTACATGATTTCTAGTCATGCCCGATAACCACTCCGGCACGCCCACTCTTAACATTAAATTTTGACTTTATTCCCAAATACTATTTATTAGTTGACAAAATTGGTGTAGAAGAACTAAACCAAACAAATCAATTAAAATTTGACATTAAATTTTTTTCTTAAATACAACCTTTTTGGAAACAGCAAAGAATCGTGAGCGACAGGATTTGAACCTACGCGGGCAAAGCCCACATGATTTCTAGTCAGGCCCGATAACCACTCCGGCACGCCCACTCTTGGCATTAAATTTTGACTTTTTTCCAAAATTATATTAATTAGTTTACAAAATTGGGGTAGAAGAACTAAATCAAACAAAACAATTGAAATTTGACCTTAAATTCTACTCTTAAATACTACCTATTTGGTGACAGCAAAGAAACGTGAGCAGCTGGATTCGAACCTGCACAGGCAAAGCTCACAAGATTTCTAGCAATGCCCAATAACCACTCCGGCACGCCCACTTTTAACATTAAATTTTGACTTTATTCCCAATTTCTATTTATTAGTTGACAAAATTGGGGTATAAGAACTAAATCAAACAAATCACTTGAAATTTGATATTAAATTCTTCTCTTAAATTTTACTTTCTATTTATTAGTTTACAAAATTGGGGTATAAGAACTAAATCATACCTATTCGGTGACAGCAAAAAAACATGAGCGGCAGGATTCGAACCTACATGGGCAAAGCCCACATGATTTCTAGTCATGCCCGATAACCACTCCGGCACGCCCACTCTTAACATTAAATTTTGACTTTATTCCCAAATACTACTTATTAGTTTACAAATTTGGGGTAGAAGAACTAAATCAAACATATCTGTTGAAATTTGATATTAAATTCTTTTCTTAAATACAACCTATTTAATGACAGCAAAGAATCTTGATCGGCAGGATTCAAACCTGCACGGGCAAAGCCCACATGATTTCTAGTCATGCCTGTTAACCACTCTGGCACGCCCACTCTTGGCACTAAATTTTGACTTTTTTCTGAAATTATATTAATTAGTTTACAAAATTGAGGTAGAAGAACTAAATCAAACAAATCAATTGAAATTTGACATTAAATTCTTCTCTTAAATACAACCTATTGGGTGATAACAAAGAAACGTGAGCAGCATGATTCGAACCTACACGGGCAAAGCCCACATGATTTCTAGTTATGCCCGATAAACACTCCGGCATGCCCTTTCTAGTTATGCCCGATAAACACTCCGGCATGCCCACTCTTGACAATAAGTTTTGACTTTATTCCCAAATACTACTCGTTAGTTGACAAAATTGGGGTAGAAGAACTAAATCAAACAAATCCATTGAAATTTGATATTAAATTCTTCTCTTAAATACTACCTATGGGGTGACAGCAATGAAATGTGAGCGATAGGATTTGAACCTACACGGGCAAAGCCCACATGATTTCTAGTCATGCCCGATAACCACTCCGGCACGCCCACTCTGGTCATTTAATTTTGAGTTTTTTCCTAAATACTATTTATTAGTTGACAAAATTGGTGTAGAAGAACTAAACCAAACAAATCAATTAAAATTTGACATTAAATTTTTTTCTTAAATACAACCTATTTGGTGACAGCTAAGAATCGTGAGCGACAAGATTCGAACCTACGCGGGCAAAGCCCACATGATTTCTAGTCATGCTCGATAACCACTCCGGCACGCCCACTCTTAACATTAAATTTTGACTTTATTCCCAAATACTATTTATTAGTTTACAAAATTGGGGTAGAAGAACTAAATCAAAAAAATCTGTTGAAATTAGTGACAGCAAAGAATCGTGATCAGCAGGATTCGAACCTGCACGGGCAAAGCCCACATGATTTCTAATCATGCCCGATAACCACTCCGGCACGCCCACTCTTGGCATTAAATTTTGACTTTTTTCTGAAATTATATTAATTAGTTTACAAAATTGGGGTAGAAGAACTAAATCAAACAAATCAATTGAAATTTGACATTAGATTCTTCTCTTAAATACAACCTATTGGGTGATAACAAAGAAACGTGAGCAGCATGATTCGAACCTACACGGGAAAAAGCCCACATGATTTCTAGTTATGCCCGATAAACACTCCGGCATGCCCCTTCTAGTTATGCCCGATAAACACTCCGGCATGCCCACTCTTGACAATAAGTTTTGACTTTATTCCCAAATACTACTTGTTAGTTGACAAAATTGGGGTAGAAGAACTAAATCTAACAAATCACTTGAAATTTGATATTAAATTCTTCTCTTAAATACTACCTATTGGGTGACAGCAAAGAAATGTAAGCGACAGGATTCGAACCTACACAGCAAAAGCCCACATGATTTCTAGTCATGCCCGATAACCACTCCGACACGCCCACTCTGGTCATTTAATTTTGATTTTTTTCCCAAATACTATTTATTAGTTGACAAAATTGGTGTAGAAGAATTAAACCAAACAAATCAATTAAAATTTGACATTAAATTTTTTTCTTAAATACAACCTATTTGGTGACAGCAAAGAATCGTGAGCGATAGGATTCAAACCTACGCAGGCAAAGCCCACATGATTTCTAGTTATGCCCGATAACCTCTCCGGCACGCCCACTCTTGGCATTAAATTTTAACTTTTTTCCAAAATTATATTAATTAGTTTACAAAATTGGGGTAGAAGAACTAAATCAAACAAAACAATTGAAATTTGACATTAAATTCTTCTCTTAAATACAACCTATTGGGTGATAGCAAAGAAACGTGAGCAGCATGATTCGAACCTGCACGGGCAAAGCCCACATGATCTCTATTTATGCCCGATAAACACTCCGGCATGCCCACTCTTGACATTAAATTTTGACTTTTTTCCTAAATACTACTTGTAAGTTGACAAAATTGGGGTAGAAGAACTAAATCAAACAAATCACTTGAAATTTGATATTAAATTCTTCTCTTAAATACTACCTATTGGGTGACAGCAAAGAAACGTGAGCAGCTGGATTCAAACCTACACAGGCAAAGCCCACATGATTTCTAATCATGCCCAATAACCACTCCGGCACGCCCACTCTTAACATTAAATTTTTTCTTTATTCCCAATTTCTATTTATTAGTTGACAAAATTGGGGTATAAGAACTAAATCAAACAAATCACATGAAATTTGATATTAAATTCTTTTCTTAAATACTACTTTCTATTTATTAGTTGACAAAATTGGGTAGAGGAACTAAATAAAACAAATCAATTGAAATTTAACATTAAATTCTTCTCTTAAATACAACCTATTAGGAGATAACAAAGAAACGTGAGCGGCAGGATTCAAACCTGCGCGAGCAAAGCCCACATGATTTCTAGTCATGCCCGATAACCACTCCGACACGCCCACTCTTGGCATTAAATTTTGACTTTTTTCCAAAATTATATTAATTAGTTTACAAAATTGGGGTAGAAGAACTATATCAAACAAATCAATTGAAATTCGACATTAAATTCTTCTCTTAAATACAACCTATTGGGTGATAGCAAAGAAACGTGAGCAGCATGATTCGAACCTGCACGGGCAAAGCCCACATGATTTCTAGTTATGCCCGATAAATTTTGACTTTATTCCCAAATACTATTTATTAGTTTACAAAATTGGGGTAGAAGAACTAAATCAAACAAATCACTTGAAATTTGACATTAAATTCTTCTCTTAACTCCTACCTATTGGGTGACATCAAAGAAACGTGAGCAGCAAGATTCAAACCTGCGCGGGAAAAGCCCACATGATTTGTAGTCATGCCCGATAACCACTCCGGCACGCCACTCTTGACATTAAATTTTGACTTTTTTCCCAAATACTATTTATTAGTTGACAAAATTGGGGTAGAAAAACTAAATCAAACAAATCAATTGAAATTTGACGTTAAATTCTTCTCTTTAATACAACCTATTGGGTGACATCAAAGAAACATGAGTGGCATGATTCGAACCTGCGCGAGCAAAGCCCACATGATTTCTAATCATGCCCGATAACCACTTCGGCACACCCACTCTTGTCATTTAATTTTGATTTTTTTCCCAAATACTATTTATTAGTTGACAAAATTGGTGTAGAACAACTAAACCAAACAAATCAATTAAAATTTGACATTAAATTTTTTTCTTAAATACAACCTATTTGGTGACAGCAAAGAATTATGAGCAGCAGGATTCGAACCTGCGCGAGCAAAGCCCACACGATTTCTAGTCATGCCCGATAACCACTCCGACACGCCCACTCTTGGCATTAAATTTTGACTTTTTTCCAAAATTATATCAATTAGTTTACAAAATTGGGGTAGAAGAACTAAATCAAACAAATCAATTGAAATTTGACATTAAATTCTTCTCTTAAATACAACCTATTAGGTGATAGCAAACAAACGTGAGCAGCATGATTCGAACCTGCACGGGCAAAGCCCACATGATTTCTAGTTATGCCCGATAAACACTTCGGCATGCCCACTCTTGACATTAAATTTTGACTTTTTTCCCAAATACTACTTGTTAGTTGACAAAATTGGGGTAGAAGAACTAAATCAAACAAATCACTTGAAATTTGATATTAAATTATTCTCTTAAATACTACCTATTGGGTGATAGCAAAGAAACGTGAGCAGCAGAATTCAAACCTACACGGGCAAAGCCCACATGATTTCTAGTCATGCCCGATAACCACTCCGGCACGCCCACTCTTAACATTAAATTTTGACTTTTTTCCCAAATACTATTTATTAGTTGACAAAATTGGGGTAGATGAACTAAATAAAACAAATCAATTGAAATTTGACACTAAATTCTTCTCTTAAATACAACCTATTGGGTGACAGCAATGAAACGTGAGCAGCATGATTCGAACCTGTGCGGGCAAAGCCCTCATGATTTCTAGTCATGCCCGATAAAAACTCCGGCATGCCAACTCTTGACATTAAATTTTGACTTTTTTCACAAATACTAATTATTTGTTGAAAAAATTGGGGTAGAAGAACTAAATAAAAAAAATCACTTGAAATTTGATATTAAATACTACCTATTGGTTGATAGTAAAGAAACGTGAGCGGCACGATTCAAACCTGCGCGGGCAAAGCCCAAATGATTTCTAGTCATGCTCGATAACCACTCCGCCACGCCCACTCTTAACATTAAATTTTGACTTTATTCCAAAATACTATTTATTATTTGACAAAATTGGGGTAGATAAACTAAATCAAACAAATCACTTTAAATTTGATATTAAATTCTTCTCTTAAATACAATCTATTTGGTGACAACAAAGAAACGTGAGCGGCAGGATTCGAACCTGCGCGGGCAAAGCCCACATGATTTCTAGTCATGCCCGATAACCACTCCGGCACGCCCACTCTTAACATTAAATTTTGACTTTATTCCAAAATACTATTGATTAGTTGACAAAATTGGGGTAGATAAACTAAATCAAACAAATCACTTTAAATTTGATATTAAATTCTTCTCTTAAATACAATCTATTTGGTGACAACAAAGAAACGTGAGCGGCAGGATTCGAACCTGCGCGGGCAAAGCCCACATGATTTCTAGTCATGCCCGATAACCACTCCGGCACGCCCACTCTTAACATTAAATTTTGACTTTATTCCCAAATACTATTTATTAGTTGACAAAATTAGGGTAGAAGAACTAAATCAAACAAATCACTCTAAATTTGATATTAAATTCTTCTCTTAAATACAACCTATTTGGTGACAGCAAAGAAACGTGAGCGACAAGATTTGAACCTGCACAAGCAAAGCCCACATCATTTCTAGTCATGCCCGATAACCACTCCAGCTCACCCACTCTTAACATTAAATTTTGACTTATTTCCCAAATACTATTTATTAGTTGACAAAATTGGGTAGAGGAACTAAATAAAACAAATCAATTGAAATTTGACATTAAATTCTTCTCTTAAATACAATGATTTCTAGTCATGCCCGATAACCACTCCGGCACGCCCACTCTTAACATTAAATTTTGACTTTATTCCCAAATACTATTTATTAGTTTACAAAATTGGGGTAGAAGAACTAAATCAAACAAATCTGTTGAAATTTGATATTAAATTCTTTTCTTAAATACAACCTATTTAGTGACAGCAAAGAATAGTGAGCGGCAGGATTCGAACCTGTGCGGGCAAAGCCCACATGGTTTCTAGTCATGCCCAATAACCACACCGGCACGCCCACTCTTGGCATTAAATTTTGACTTTTTTCTGAAATTATATTAATTAGTTTACAAAATTGGGGTAGAAGAACTAAATCAAACAAATCAATTGAAATTTGACATTAAATTCTTCTCTTAAATACAACCTATTGGGTGATAACAAAGAAACGTGAGCAACATGATTCGAACCTGCACGGGCAAAGCCCACATGATTTCTAGTTATGCCCGATAAACACTCCGGCATGCCCACTCCTGACAATAAGTTTTGACATTATTCCCAAATACTACTCGTTAGTTGACAAAATTGTGGTAGAAGAACTAAATCAAACAAATCACTTGAAATTTGATATTAAATTCTTCTCTTAAATACTACCTATTGGGTGACAGCAAAGAAACGTGAGCAGCAGGATTCAAACCTACACAGGCAAAGCCCACATGATTTCTAGTAATGCCCAATAACCACTCCGGCACGCCCACTCTTAACATTAAATTTTGACTTTATTCCCAATTTCTATTTATTAGTTGACAAAATTCGGGTATAAGAACTAAATCAAACAAATCACTTGAAATTTGATATTAAATTCTTTTCTTAAATACTACTTTGTATTTATTAGTTTACAAAATTGGGGTATAAGAACTAAATCAAACAAATCGCTTGAAATTTGATATTAAATTCTTCTCTTAAATACTACCTATTCGGTGATAGCAAAGAAACATGAGCGACAGGATCCGAACCTACATGGGCAAAGCCCACATGATTTCTAGTCATGCCCGATAACCACTCCGGCACGCCCACTCCTAACATTAAATTTTGACTTTATTCCCAAATAAACTATTTATTAGTTTACAAAATTGGGGTAGAAGAACTAAATCAAACAAATCTGTTGAAATTTGATATTAAATTCTTTTCTTAAATACAACTTATTTAGTGACAACAAAGAATCGTGAGTGGCAGGATTCGAACCTGCGCGGGCAAAGCCCACATGATTTCTAGTCATGCCCGATAACCACTCGGCACACCACTCTTGGCATTAAACTTTGACTTTTTTCTGCAATTATATTAATTAGTTTACAAAATTGGTGTAGAAGAACTAAATCAAACAAATCAATTGAAATTTGACATTAAATTCTTCTCTTAAATACAACCTATTGGGTGATAACAAAGAAACGTGAGCAGCCTGC